CGAAGTTATACGATCTCCCCCCTCCCTTTCCCCCCTCCCAACCGCGCCCCCCCCCCTCAACCCCCCCCCCCCACACAAACACACCTGGCGGGCCGTAGAAGAGCACGCCCTTTGAGGGCGCCATGCCAAACTTTTCAAACTTGTCTGGGTGCTCCACCGGGTACTGCACCGTCTCCTGCAGCTCGCGTTTGACGCCCTCCAGCCCGCCCACGTCCTCCCAGGTGACGTTGGGCACCTCCACCACCGTCTCGCGCAGCGCGGAGGGATTGCTCAGCCCCAGAGCGGTCTTGAAGTTGTCCATGGTCACCGCCATGGAGTTGAGCACCTCCGCATCGATACTGTCATCCTCCAGGTCGATCACATCCATCTTCTCGCGGATGCACTGCGAAGGTATTGTTTGGGGTGGGGGGGGGGGGGGGGTGGTTTAGGAGGGGTGTGTCTGGAATCACCACGTGGCAGCAAATGGAATAGTGTGCTGCCAAAGACCCTGCAACCGCACGGTCCTCGTGGCACGCAATTCCCAAGCAGGCGGGAGATGCATCCCAGCGCCCAGCGCCTGAGGCAATCATCCTCCCCGCCCTCAACACCCCCCCATAAAAAAATCACCTGCAGCGCGGCCTCCGTGCACAGGGCGGCCAGGTCGGCGCCGACGTAGCCGTGGGTGTCGCGCGCCACGGCCTCCAGGTCCACGTCCTCCCCCAGCTTCATGTTGCGGGAGTGGATGCGTAGGACCTCCAGGCGGCCCACCTCGTCCGGCACGCCGATGTCGATCTCCCGGTCAAACCGGCCAAAGCGGCGCAGCGCGGCGTCGATGGAGTTGGGGCGGTTGGTGGCGCCCATGACGATGACGTGGCTCCGCGACTTCAGCCCATCCATCAGGGTCAGCAGCTGGCTGACGATGCGGCGCTCCACCTCGCCCTGCGTCTTGTCGCGCTTGGGCGCGATGGAGTCGATCTCATCGATGAAGATGATGGCGGGCGCGTTCTTCTCCGCCTCCTCGAACGCCTTGCGCAGGTTGGACTCGGACTCCCCTGCCAGCTTGCTCATGATCTCGGGGCCATTGATGAGGAAAAAGAAGGCGCCCGTCTCGTTGGCCACCGCGCGCGCGATCAAGGTCTTGCCCGACCCGGGGGGGCCGTACAGCAGGATGCCCTTGGGCGGCTTCACCCCGATGGTCTTGAACAGCTGCGGGTGGCGCAGCGGCAGCTCCACCAGCTCCCGGATCTGGGCCATCTGCTTGCGCACGCCGCCCACGTCGTCGTACCCTACCTGGAAGAGATTAGGGGAAGAGGGCATCGTGAGAGAGTGGGTGACGAAGTCGACAGAAAATGTTCTCCAAGTGAATGGAGACAGGTAAGCACCCCTGCGGAATCTGGGCCTCAGAAATGGGCTTGGGACACTTGCCATGTCAGACCGGTCCGGGCGAATGAACCCCAAACCTTCCGGCTGGTATTCCCCGCTTCTCCACCACCCCTTCTGGCCTGTCACGACCCCACCCTCACATCCATGCCTTGATCGTCCACGCACCTCCATCCCACCCCACTCCACCAAGCTCTCAGATGCCCTAGGGCCCCCCCCCCACACACACCCCCTCTCCTAAACACACGCCAAACCTCCCACCTCATCCAGGCGCTCCTCGTCCTCGCGCTTGATGCTCTCGCCCTCGCAGTAGATCTCGGTGTCCGGCGCGACGATGCAGTACTCGGCGGGGTCGGTCTCCACGACCTTGAACTCCACGGTGCGCATGCCGCCGCGGACGAGGAAGGTGTCGCCCTTGCGCACGGGGCGGTAGGCCTCCACGAAGTAGGGCTTGAGGAAGGCGTCGAACAGGTTCCCCGTGATGCCCTCCACCGTGTCCTCGAAGGGCAGCACGTGCACGCGCTGGCCGTACTTGACGTCGGGGCACTGGTGCACCGACACGATGTCGCCCAGGCGCACGCGCAGGTTCTTGCGCACCACCTTGTTCAGCCGGATCTTGGCCTCCTCGCAGGTGTCGTCGGAGAGGACGATGCACACCGTGTCCTTGCGCTTCTTGCCCTTCAGCAGCACCGTGTCGCCGCGGAACAGGTCCAGCGTCTCCATGGTCTTGGGGTGCAGGGTAACCACGGAGTTGTCGTCGTTCACGGCCTGGGAGGGTGAAGGAAAGGGGTGTGAGCAGGGGAGCGGTGGTGAGTGGGAGGGCTGCGTCAGGTGCCAGGGGTCTGACAGCCACGAAGAACACTGGAAGTGCATGGACAGTGGAGCATGGGCACGCCGCCCTGACGTCCAGGACTAGCACCCCTCGCGCCGTGGGGAGACAACAGGGCATGCAGGATCACAAACAACCTCCTCACACAGGCGCTGTGGCCTCGCACATCCAGGCAGGGCATCTGACCCACAATACACCATGCCACACTTGGCCAACCCCCCTCCCCTGCCCAACGCACATCATCGACCAGCAGGCGGTTGGGGCTCTTCTTTCGCTCCAGGATTGCCGTGCTAAAGTCCTTTCTCACTTCCCTGTCGCATAAGAGCAGGGCGAGGATTGGAAGGCAGCGCGCAGGCCCGAAGGGTGCGGAGGTATGCGCAGGGGAACGGCACCTCGTGAGGACGACTCCTCACGCACAGCCCTCTCGTCGAGCCCTGTGCCAAAACTCACCCCTCCGCCACAGCCTCAGATTTGACTGGAGTGTCCGGCATTGCCGTGGGTGGTCTATGCCTCGGCGATCAGATAGCAACCAGGCGAGCGGTGATCGTTCACTCCGGCAATATCCCAGCGGCAGGAGTGCTGTATCAGACCACTGGAATTCACAAGAATATATGGCCCTGCATCATCCGCGATGCACTGGTATCGAGCCTTGGCCGGGCGTGGATGGTTCGGGGCCCTGGAAGGGAAAGGATGTTTCCCGCGATCACGACTCTCGCAAGTGGAGGGGTGGGAGTTCACCGCTTATGCACGGAGAGCTCCATGCATCTGCATCCCTCTCCATCCATCTCAGGCCTTACTGGCCGTAAAACTTACCCAAACAAAAGATGAAGCGCTGCTAGAGTAACACTGGATGCTCCTAATTTATCCATCCATCCTGCTGGGCAATCCTCGCTTTGCACACTGCCTTGCTCAGCAGCAACCTCCCACAACCTTGTCATCTTATGTTCTACAGAGCATTGGGGCAACAAAGCATTGGGTTTTCATCTCAGCAGAGGGGGATGAGGAGCGGCAGGGGAGGGGGTCGGGGGGAAACATGGGTGTACTGTGGCTGTACAGCTTCAACCCCCCGCCACCTGCACAAGGTGTCGTGGGTGCTCGGGTGTTGTATGGTAGGCAGAAGGGACAGAGACGGTAGTGGCATTCTCGAGGAGCATAGCGGGCACGAGGCCGACACACTCCTGCCTGACAAGCACACAGCGCTACGGGGTGGGAGGAGGACGGCATGTCGCTCCGTCAAAAATTGCAATAGGGGGGCAGGAGGGCAGACAGCGCGGCGCCCGCGGCCCCAATTCCTCAAGGAGACTGGAACAGGCTACAACTGCTAGGCACATGGGGGGGGGGGGGGGAAGAGAGGACGAATATAGTAAAAGAGCAGAGTGGAGGGCGTGTAGGTGGGGCTGGGTGGCGACAACTGCCCTTGTGGCGCTGCCTGGACGGGCTGAGAGCTCCAGCGACTTGAAGGGGGGGCAGGCACCACGGCCGCCCCCTCAGCAGGCTGGCTGGCGCCATCAGGGCTCGCGGGCAAAGGCCGCCTCCAGGGCCGCACGGCTCGCCTCCAGGATGCGCGGGTCGGCCAGGCAGTAGGGGCGCAGGAAGAGTTGCAGCTCGCTCTGGCCCTGCGCGTCCTGGCCCTCGCCCCAGTCGGCCGCGCCGGGCTCGCCCTCGGTGGGGACGTAGTACCCCGCCGCGGGCGATTCCGGCGGCGGCACGAAGAAGCCCTCCAGGCACGCCCCGGGGCCGGCCAGGTCCTCGTCGGCGACCCCGCGCTGCCGCGGCTCACCCACGCGGGGCTCATCCGGCAGCACGGCGTACTGGCCCTGGCGCAGGCGCAGGCTCTTCTCCCAGTCGGTCACGCCGACGTTGACCTCGGGCGGGATGAGGAGGGAGTCGGGCGCCTCCAGGCGGCAGCGATAGCCCGAGGAGGAGCAGAAGTCCTGCAGGTCGCCCCAGGCCAGCGGGTAAACCGTGGGCTCGTGCTCCATGGTCGCCTCCAGCAGCGTGGCGTAGCGCGCTGCGTCGTCCCGCGCCGCGAAGGCCACGATGGTGTCCACGGGCAGACCGCCGTCGCGGGCGCTGGCGCGCAGGCTGTAGATGCCCTCCAGCTCTGACTGCCCCACGCCAAACAGGATGACGTGGACCTCGGTGGACGGGGCGGGGGCGGGGGGGGCGGGCGCGGCGGTGGGGTGCACCCCCTCCAGCGACCAGGTCAGGTTGCTGATAGCGGCCCGCAGCCGGCGCAGCGTCACCGGCTCGTCCTCAGTCAGGGCGTCGCCGTCCCAGTGGGGGGACTCGTCCCCACAGCTGCTGCTGCTGCTGCTGCTGGGTGAGCAGCTGTACACTGCCCCCGTCCAGCTCCTGCCGGA